CAGGCCTAGAACATCTGGGGACCCAAGGCTAGGAACCACTGATTCCTGTTGAACAGGTAGGGCTGCACGACTGGTTTTCAGGCATCACCATTTGAAAAGTAACAGTGCTGCTATTCTGTGTGCCAGTTAAGGTGCAACTTGTTAATATTGTCATTTTGGAATGTTTTAATCTGTTGTAACTTCTAATGTAAGCACAAAATATAACAGACAAGGTTGGCTACTGCTAAATGAATTGATGGTGAGTTAATGACTTCGAATGTGGGCTCAGAAGACACTAGTTCAAATCTGACTTTAGCCAGAAATTTGTTGGATACTACGTTAAATATTATGATTGTTCCAGATACGGAGGCTTTCTTGGTTGTGATCTGTGCTGTGGACCCACTGTGTCAGAAAGTGCATTATAAAGATGCAAGGGATAGTAAAGAAGAGCATGTCTGTGATTAAAAAATGTTTCAGCTAAAATTGTCTTTTGGTGGTGGCTATTGTGGATAGGAATACACTTAGTGGTTAGGCTCTATTAGAGTTTCCATGTTTTTAAAAAGTTTTCCACTCTTTCTTTGTTTCCTGCTTATATCTAAACTGGAGATATGCTCAGGCTGCTTTGAGAAAGGTTGCAACAAACACGATCTAAAATTCTGTGTTATACTCTCTGGCGTCTTCCAAGCCTCTTACAAGGTCTGGTGATTCAAAATAGAGCTTCTGTTGAAACCCAGTCCAGTAGGCAAATGGTACTAAATAGCTCCATTGGCAGAGCAGCTGGGACGGAAAGAAATTATACAGGATCTCGGGCGCTAAATTTAGGAAAACTGTTCATTATTCATTTATTCAACCAATGCATCTTTTTCCCCCCTTTTTCAATCCACGTTCTCTATCCTGCACATAAGCTTTCACACTGCGGTCAAGGAGTGCCCTGGGAAAAAGCACACAATGCACTTTTTGTAGAGAAAGTGTAGATCCCCCGTGGAGACCCCTCTGTGCCAAGTGCAACACACTATCTGTGCTATCGGTAGAAAAGAGTGGCTGTTCATCATGGCCACATCATTGATGTTGAAATTTCTGCTTGCAGGATAAGGAGGGGAGTACTGTATTTTTTGGCGTATAAGACTACTTTGTTGCCCTGAAAAACATGCCTCCAAGTGGGTGTGTGTGTGTCTTATGCACCGGGTACACTTCAGTTGGCATAGACATAGCTGCCCATAGTGGCCTTCCGATGCTCGCCCGATGCCCATAGTAGCCTACTGATGCCTGCCCACCTCATTCTACATACCGTCCAGTATTGCGCGGTATCCAGCACGGCCGTGGCATGCATCAGCAACAAGACAGGGGTGCCAGCCTTTTCGACGTGATTGGCCCGTTCTGCTTGGTAGGAAGCAGCAGCGCTCCGCCCCGCCCCTTGTCTACACAGAGCTCACACATGCGCACTTGCACAGTAGTGCCGGTCACAGGGAGATGCAGGGGCGGGGCGGAAGCACTGCGGCCGTACAATGGTGACAATGAATAGCACCTTTTATTTGGTGTGTGGAAGGTGTGCGGAAGAGGGGGTAGTCTTATACGGTGAGTATAGAACAAACTATTTGAGTGGAAATGTTGTGGGGGTCGTCTTATACGCCCAGTCGTCTTATACACTGGCAAATACGGTGCCTTGTGGGAGGGGGGAGGAGAGCCATGGGAAGCCGCTGGGAATTACGCCCAGTCGTCTTATACGCTGGCAAATGCGGTGCCTTGTGGAGGGGAGGAGAGCCATGGGAAGCAGCTGGGAAGAGCCTCCTATCTTTATTTGTGACACTGGAAGTTTTGCCAGTAACTGTTCCCAGTCTGGTAGGTCAGGTTTTGAGGCCTCCTCCTCTGAAAAGATGAGTCACCTGCCAAGGGTTGTGAAAGGTTGGGTAAATTGCTGCTCCTGAATATGCGTTGGGGTGGGGAGTGATGTTCCCTGCATGGAGTGCCAAATTGCTTAGTGATGCGAGGGACACGGACCTTTGTAGCAGCTCTGTGCAAATCAGACGTTCTATAATGACAGAAGTAAAGCCTACCTGTGGTTTCTTTTCAAGGGACCCAGAGTGGTAGAATATACCAGATAGGCGGGGTATAAATCAAATAAATAAATAAAGGCAGAATAGGAAAGATCTTTAAAAATTGCTAGAAACCATAGTTTGAGATTGTGTCTAAGGTACGTCTGCCCTATTGAGCAATTGGTATCTGATTTATAAGCTACTGTTCCGTATGTCTCAGAAGAAGCTGACCAATCTCATCCAAAAGTTGTCTTTCATACGAAAATGTGCCAGAGTTGTTGGTTTTTATAGGGTTTTTAATAGAATTTAGTAATATTGATCCTAAAATTACGACTGTGGTGAAGCTCACAGGGTCTACAGAAAAACATTCAGAGTGAGTTTTTGGTTTTGCCTGGCTGACTTTCTTTTCCAAAGTGGCGTTCTCCAGATGTGTTGGCTTATCCCTCCAGCAGGAGTTATAATCCAGCACATCCAGAGCACCACCAGCTGGTTGGGACAGGCTGATAGAGGATCTCAAAATCAGTAAGGAAGAGAGGAAGCAACTTTCATAGGGCAGGAGTTCCATATATTTGATACAACCAGAAAAGAGGCTATACAGTGTTCATTTCCTGAGTTGTGATAATGCAGACAGTGTTTGCACATGAAGTGGAGAATTGCAAAGCACATCTTGTCATATGGGTAGGCAGAAGTCCCCAAATCATGGCTTGCCTTGAGGCGGCGGTGGAGAGGCAACCACATCCCTCCACAAAGCATTGGTGTGGTTCCTTTTGACTTGCTTCTCTACCAAAATGCAGCACAAAGGTAGGAAATAGCCCTTTGCCCCCCTCCTTAACTCTTAGCTCAGAGCTCGGGAAAGGAATTGCAGAGGTGGGGGCAGTTTCCTTGCAAGGTGTAAAACCTCTCTGCCCTCTTCAGGATCAGAATTGGACAAGCAAGTTAGTCTTGGTCTCCCTTCTTTCTGGACACCCAAAGTCAATGGCAAGTGGAGATAGAACCTGATATGCTTCATCTCAAGGGCAGAAGCAAACTTCCTGAACAACAACACAAATTGCAGGCTTTCTCTGAATATTTGGTTTGGGAGAAAATGGAGGCTCATCACACACTACGCAAACTTAAGTGGGTTCACAGATCATGGTTTACAGTCAGGAGGTACAGTCAGCATCCTTGAAGCCATAGTTTTGTTTGCTTATTTGCTTACTTTGCTTACCAAGAGTTGACAAGTCAAAGGATGCCATATGCTTTGTTTCTGAATGGGGAAGCAAGAAAGCTGAGCAAACAGGAAACGGAAGCAGCAGACGAGAAGGTCTAAATCCTGGTTTGCCTGGAAAATTTCAAGGTTGAAACCATAGATTGGTTTCCTAACTAAGATTAATGTAAACTTGGGCTAGACATGAGGATTTGTAATGACCTTGGCATCACAAGCCAGAATTAATGAGAAGTCCAGCTTCGGGAAGAGCCAGGATGCCTGCTAGCTAATTCCTTTCATTTGTGGCAGGAGGGACTAAGCAGCATCCCATGGACCTTTCATCTGTGATATATATTTGATCTCTGATATGTGTGAATCAGCAGGAGCCCGATCTGCTGCATTTGCATATCAAAGTTTCACAGTGTTGTGGCTGCTTCCAGGCAGAGCAGGAGCAATTCAGCAATATATTAAGCCAGAATTTTGATATCTGAGCCAGAAGCAGGAAGATTGTCCCTTTCCCCCCCTATATTTGATCTATTTTCTGTTCTGACAATAGATCATTGATCTATCTGTTGGTTATGCTGGTCATGGTTCAACAAGCGCCTGAAGAGTGCCCACTCTTTTTTCACTTGGCATGTGTGAATATAGCAGGGTGAATGTTACTGCCATTTGAGGAATGAAATCACCATTTGATGAACCAGTTGCTGATGGATAAAAAGGAAAATCAAAGCTAACCCAGACGTGATATTGGAAGCGTCCAGCTACTTAACTGGCCTGTCATTCCTAGCAAGATGAAATGTTGCATTTGAAGAAAGGAACTGTATAGTATTCTAATCCTGCTAGGAAGGAGGACGTGGTGAATTCAAGAAGCAGCATGACAGCATAAGGTTGTGTGACTCAGACTGTGGCAGAGAGAAGTAACAGCAACCACTAGGCACTCTAGTCTGAGGCTGTTGACCATGTGCTTTGCATGTGGCTCATGAAGATTTCAGCTGGCATTTTGTATGATGTACCATATTTTTCGCTCCATAAGACGCACCAATTTTTTAGGAGAAAACAGGAAAACATAATCTGTTTTCTTCGCTCCATAAGACGCACAGACTTTCCACCACCACCCTGTTTTGTGGGGAAAAGGTGTGTCTTATGGTGCAAAAAATATGGTATGTTTTGGGAGATCCTTTGGTAAGAATTGAATCATGTTTCAGAAATGTTTTTTTCCAAAACTTTAAACTAGTTGAATTAATTTTGTACTATATTTGCCCATGAAGAGGTTTGCTCAAAAGTCCCCCCCCCCACTGCTGTAGACAATGCTTCTGCATACCAGTAGCCAATACTTAGAGTAACAGAAAAGGCTCTAGCAACTGGACAGTGTCAGGGTCAGTGCTAAGAACCCGTAGCTCTGATGCCCAAAGAGTAGCTTTCATGTAAAATGAATTTGAGGGATGAATCCAAGCACTAGTCTTCTCCAAAAGCTGTTTCATTGCTTAAAGTGTAATTGCCATACATTCGCCTGTTCTTTTTCTTGAATATTTCTACCACACATACAGAAAACAATCTATGAGAAACTATGTTGCGGGTATTGTGTGATAAGGTTATTCTTTTCTTTGAAAGCAAACGGATAAAATTATCTGATGGGCTTCTTTTTCATAGGCATCATCAAGGTGAGTGAGTGAGTGTCCACCACTGATTTACCCCACTCCTGTTCTGTGGCCAAGGTAACACAGGTTAGGTTCAAAACCTTGTTAATGAAATGCTTATTTTCCTCTGCTCCAGGGTCTCATTCCTCTGTATTTTCCTTTCAGATTCCTTTGTTTCTTCCTCTCAGCCTGTCTCTCTCTTTTCGACTTTACAAGGCAAGTCTGTAATTTTTCTTGTACCCCCCCTACTAAAAGAAAAATGTTGAGAAAGAGGCTGTAACTGGGGACAGGATAAAGTTCATCTTTTCTCAGCTGCTCACAGACCCTCCAACTGGCTGGAGAACAGCTGTTTGTGATACACACGTGGCCTGATATAAATAGTTTTCAGCTTTGACACGGTAACGGGTAAATTACGGTGTTAAATTTTTGTGTTTTCAAGCTGCAGTTGTGAAACTGGCCATTTTTGGTAAATGAACGTGCCAACAAATCTAGATTAGCACTGCCTTTTTGAAAAAAGCAATCAAGTCACACAGCATCTGTCAATGAGTTGTTACCTACAAACTGAAAAATGAATTTTTTCCCATGAAAGCCAGTTGTATTCTCAGGGAAAGGAGAGGATGCTCTTGGCAAAAGTTAGCTGTGCACCTGAGGAGGGGAGCTTCCTTCATATCTTGAAGCCTGACCAGTTCAGGGTTGGAAAAGGAACATGAGCTCCACTTTGGTGCCTGTAGCCTCCAAGGTGTACATGAAGCTCATGGCAGCCTATAAGTTGCCTTTCTTAGCTGGCATTATCAGTATCTGCCAGACTCCATTCTGAGGCATTCTGGTGGCTAACTTTGTGAGAAGATCGGCAATAGCAGACAAGGATCTTTGCCTGATAAAAGCTTTGCAAATCTATGCAATCTTCTGCTGCAACAGTTGGCTGCAGGGGGAGTGCCAGAAGCTTTTGAAAGATGCAGCGTTGATGTGAGGAGTGGAGAGGCCCAGAGCAGCTGGCCAAACTGGATGTGGGAAAGGCCTCGATTCTGTACACGACTCAAGGAATCCATAGCAAGTGCTCCCAGACTCTCCAAGTAGACATATAGGTGTGGAAAGCATTTTGTGGTGGACATTTTGTTATAGGACAAGGTTGGAAAAGTGCCGTCCTGGACATTTCACGAAGAACCGTTTCTGGCATGTGAGGATTCTCCCAGCATTAAAGCCATGGCTGCTATGTTAATTTGGTAGTGCATAGTTATTTATGATCATAGCTGTGTGCCCTTCCTACGAATTGGAAAGGACGGTGTGATTAAGATATGAGGGAAACCAGTCAAGAAGATACTAGTTGCCTGCCTCTTGGATCTCATGTGCAGGAAATAAAAACAGTTTCATAATATGATATAAGAGGAAAGAGTCTCATGGGTTCAGTGGGAGAATGCACTAAAGGTTCTGGATATAGCATCTCCAAATTATAAAGATCTGAGGTTACCAATCCAAAGAGATAGGACCACCATCCTGACTTGTATCAGGGTAGTCTCATCTGCAGGGTGTTAAGTAAGCATCATATCACATATGTGGAGGAGCTCAATGAACATACAATGACTAGCCAAAGAGAAAAAAATCAGCAGAGGTGGGAATTGCAGTGAAGCAGAAGAACACTTTGTGTCCTGCCCTTCATGGTTCTCTTATGAAACAGAAATATTGCAGCCCTGTCTTAAGCTTTGTAACATCATCCAACTTTTCCATTCAAGAGTGGGCGGTGCACAGTCCACATGGCATTTCTTCAGCTCCCACTGGATTTGCACCAGAAATGGACTCTTCTGTGAAATCAAGACAGACAGGATGGGTGCGGCTTGCCCTTGACATAGTAGTGCTCCTTGAAAGGTGGTTGTTACAGATAAGGAGTGTGTGCCCTATACTCCTTGATTCTGGAGCAAAGCACTGCTCATAGTATTGGTGTGCAAAGATGCACCTTGTTGATAAAGTTGATAGAGCTTGCAGGAGCACTCCTCATCTGAAAAACAAAACCTATGTCCTCTGTGTTTTGTTTTCCATTTCTTTTTTTTTAAAAAAATTAACTTTTGCTGCTGTTACATAAATTCTGTCACAGAGGTTAATTCCTCTTGGGATTCTGGAGGAGGGGAGCAAGTTTGGCTGCTGGACCCATGGAATTGCTTAACATCATCTGGATTTTCCTCTCCATGACCTCTTTCCACACTGATTTTCCTGTTGAGGAATCTGTGCCCTTTTTTTTGTGAGGGCAGTTCTGTGGCATTTTCTAAAACAGCTTGGTAAGGTGCCAGTTAGGCCTCTTTTGCCTCGCTGTTGGCACAGCATAAACTCAAGAATGTGCCCTAGATAAAATCATTGTTCCCCGTTGGCCACCAATGGTGTCAGAAGGTGGGTACTAGTGGGTGAATCTGTCTTCAGGGGTCTTTGACTTTTCTGCTGGTTTGGATCTACTGGAAGAATCCTGAGAAGCTCCAGTGTTTGTCTAAAAAACGCTGTTAGAATGAAAGCCTTTCATTAGACTGTTATTAGAGCCAGAATCTTAAATGAAGCTGTGTAGAGCGCTTAAAGTAGAGCCAGAATAGCTTAGGTTTGATTCATCCAGTGTAAAATAGCAGCCATTTTGGTGCCATGTATGATGTTGCATCAACTATTTAAGGTTCTTCAGCACTATTTACTTCAATGGAGACTTGACATACAGACTTTTTGACTTGAGAACCACCTTCCAATACGGATTAAGTTCTCAAGTCAAGACCCCACTGTAGCAGCCATTTTGGTGCCATGTACGATGATGCATCAACTATTTAAGGTTCTTCAGCACTATTTACTAGTATTGGGTCCGTGCTGCTTTTAGGTTTGTTAAAATCCCCCACTGTAGCAGCCATTTTGGTGCCATGTACGATGATGCATCAACTATTTAAGGTTCTTCAGCACTATTTACTAGTATTGGGTCCGTGCTGCTTTTAGGTTTGTTAAAATCCTCTGAAGCTCTGGCTTGCTAGTAGCAGAAGCCCACCTGCATCAACTATTTAAGGTTCTTCAGCACTAACTAATAGCTAGTATTGGGTCCTTGCTGCTTTTAGGTTTGCTAAAATGCTCTGAAGCTCTGGCTTGCTAGTAGCAGCTTATAAGCCCACCTTCCCACAGATCTAAGCAAGGAGTCCTCTTGAGAATTGAAGAATGGATCATTTCACCATCACAGAGCTCCTGATGGTGTTCTCAGGAGCTCATGTTCTCCATGCAGCATTTTTTTGCTTCAAATCCCCCTATAACAGTGGTCCCCAACCTTGGGTTCCCAGATATTCTTGGACTGTAACTCCCAGAAACCCATCTTGGCACAGCTAGTGGGGAAGGCTTCTGAGAGTTGCAGTCCAAGAACGTCTGGGGACCCAAGGCTGGGAACCACGGACAAAAAAAAAGCTGATGCTAAGAACCACTCCTTTTCTTTTTAGTAGAATGTCAGGCTGCTCCCACGTGGACTTTGTCAGTTAGAGGGCAGATAGACCCAGCGTTAAAGATATTTGATCCACTGCTGTGGACCTTCCCCACCGCAACCTACAGTTCAAGGGGTGTGTTGGCAGCTTGCTGACCTACATCCTAGCTATCAAATAACTCCATAAAAATGCTACAGTTGCCCTTGTTGATCCAGACCACGAGGGATGTCTAACCCAATATTTTGGCCATGAGGACAGGAGGTTGATGGGAGCTGTAGTCCAGTACAGTTACTGGCTGATGATTTGAGGAAGGTGACTCTAGAACCAATGTTCACAACCTCTGACTCTGCAGATGTTTCTGACGTCAGCTCCCAGAATGTTCCAACCATTGCCCTCCTGGCTGGGCTTTCGGGCCATTGAAATTGCAAACATCTGGAGGGCCAAAGTGGAGAACGCCAACTTGCCATCAACCTGTGGTTTACCTCCAGCTCCTTCCCTTTGCAGGGGGTACATTTCCTTGGCAGCAGACATTCCATTTCGTTGTGATGGCCAACAGCCACCGTGCTAGGCATCTGGAATAGGAAGTTGGAACAATTAAAAGGCATTTGGGACAAGCCACGGGAAACCAGTTACAGCCTTTTTTGGAAATGCAAACATTTTTCTTCTCACATTTTCCCTTCTAGTTGAAGTCCCCTTGAGATCCAGCTTGGCTGCACAGGGCTGGCTAACTTCCTATCTTGGTGCTTTGGCTGTCACATGCTATTATTATGGCTGCTTTTGCACACTGTGTGCTTTCTTTTCTTTTCTTTCTTTCTTAAGCTTCACCTTTGTCTGTAAACTTGTTCTCTGAGATAACTGAACACACATGACTTTTGTTTGGAAAACAAGACAGTTCTGGATGTTTGGGTGGCAACAGCAAATAACAAATTAAGCAACATTAACGGCATTACAGGATAAGGACAGCTCTAGGGTTGGTTTGGGCAACATTTGGCTTTCCAGATATTACTGTTCCTCTCACTTCTCATCAATAGCAGGACCAGCCAGGACTGGTGAGATTTAGACTTCAATCCTGAGCTTTTGCCGGAGAAGAAATTATGAATCAGATTTTGGATTCCACCATGAAAATAGTTCTGTAGACAGACTTTGTTAATTTAACAATCATTCATCTAGGATAACATAATGCAGACAGCTTACTATAGGTATGTCATTTGACTTTTATTGGACTCTAAGTTCCAGAGTTCTTTAAGAATTCCCCAGGCACAATTCTGGGAGTTCCAGGCCACAGACTCACACCTACGTTTGGCTTGAACTAGGGCCTTAGAAGCTGCATGGCCTAGCTCCGGCCTGCTTCCTGTTATTAATATGCAGAAAAGGAGGTTACTGCAGTGCTTCCTGGATGTCATCATTCTATGGCAGTGGTCCCCAACCTTGGGCCTCCAGATGTTCTTTGACTACAACTGCCAGAAGCCTTCACCACCACCTCTGCTGGCCAGGATTTCTGGGAGTTGAAGTCCAGGAACATCTGGAGGCCCAAGGTTGGGGACCGCCGCTCTGTGGAACCTAAAAGGCAGTAAGACCATGGCGCCTAAGAAGCACCGTGGCCGCTTCCTCTTTTGTACATGAACAACAAGGGTTAAGATGAAGCTAAGCCATGCCGTCTCCAAGACAAGGACTTGGTCTAAGGGGGTGAAATGTAGGCATCAGCAAGTGTGAGTCTGTGGCCTGGATCCCTCAAAATTCTGTCTGGAATTCCTGGAGCTGGAATTTTAAACAGTCCAAATGGCGCATTCCTAG